CCTGCTGAAGTCAGTGGTTTTGCATTGATTTATACAAGCAGAGAATTTGATCCTCTCGTGTCTAATTGTTGTCAGTACAGATCATGCTGGCCACCATCATAGCAACCCTCCAGGAAGGCATCCGCACCCTTGTCACCTAGCACAACAAATGACCATGCATGCGAATGCTGTTGTACATGTGCCCAAACTGTCATTTTAATCTGAAAATGTGGCTCACTACAATGGAGAAAGTTTCAGTTGAATCAGTTTTAGCAGTTATGCAAAAGGGTTTCTAATAAAGTAGGGAAACAGTTAATTGTAGCCTGGCACGGTATGCAGCTAAATACTGCTATAACAGGTCAAGAAAAACACCATGTCAAGATCTGCATATATATGTTTATTTTTGCTATGTGAACACATTATTTGCAAAAACCAATAAAAAAAGTTATTATTAATATGCAGGAAGAACTGGAAAGAAAATGGAAGTACAGTATATTATATCTGCAGCATACATACTAGTGAGAATTGATTGATTGATTTATATTATTGTTATTTTCTCCCTTCTGGCCAACCCAAAACCTCTTATGTATTTATATTGGTGTGTTGTAGATGTAGGGGACTGAAACATAATCCACATCTGGATCTGAACATCCCCAAGGTTCAGAAGTATTCAAATCTAGTGGTTTGGTTCAGGCACATCTTGGATTATTTCACACTCATATCCAGCCTATTTTCTCTTTCTCCATTATGAGTGAGGTAAACCACCAATTATAGGAAACAAGGTGTCATTAAGGATGATTAGAAAGCAATAGACATCTGCTGTTGTAACCATATTAATATAAGTGTGGATCTTTGCCATCATCTAGTGGCTGACCAAGGCATAGAAATTCCTAGCTAATGGACCTGGTCTTGTGTCCTAAGTAAGAAAAGTAGAGGTCATGGATTTGATGCTAGCAGAGACCTTATCCAAAGGAGCTTCACATTAACTGTGGTCCTCCAGAGAAAGTTGCTTTTTATTTGCAAACCAGTCCGAATAATGCCAACACTTAAGTGGAATTGGTTGATTCATGGTTTTTAATGTAATTTTCCAATCATTTCAGGAAGCACCTGTGGTGGCAAGAGCAGCCCTGTTCCTTGAATGTGCTCGCTTCGTTCACCGCTGCAATCGTGGCAACTGGCCGGAGTGGATGAAGGGGCACCATGTGAATATCACTAAGAAAGGCCTGTCCCGGGGACGATCCCCGATAGTGGGGAACAAACGGAACCAGAAGCTGCAGTGGAATGCAGCCAAACTCTTCTACCAGTGGGGAGATGTACGTTTTCACCTTTTGTACTTTACGTTAAAAAAATCGAATGACAAATCAAATGGAGTAGAGCATTACAAATCCCAATGGCTCAGGGGCCAAAAATGTAATAACCTTCCTCCTGGCATCCACTTTAGACATGTAGTGACAAATTCTCAGCGTATATAAATCAGCCTGGTTCCACTGGAACTACGCCAGACTCTATCTGCTAAGTGCCTGGAAGCCTGCATCATGGAAACAGAGGGGAAAACTCATTTTTACTCTCCTTCTCATGAGTTGTATTGCAGGAGCTCCAGCATTTTGAAAGCCGGAGTTTCTGGCTTTCAGAGAGTTTTGTCTTACCCTTCTGTTTTAATAAAAGCAAAGATCTATTGTATAATGAGTGTCAAGCCAAACAAATACATATGTTGGAGTTTGGAAAAAAAAGTTCCCCAGCCCGTGTTCTTTATGTAAGCCTCTCCATGTGGACAGCCAAAGAGATCCATAGTCCCCTAGGTTAATTCAGACACTCTTCAGAGGTGTCTGCCTCAAAAGTAATTAAAAACAAATCAAAGGCGTGAAAAATGCAGGCACTTGATTTAATTGTTCTGCACCTTCTAGGAAAGGTCATGAGCACAGCCTTGCTCCTAATATGTTTACCCTATTTGTGGAAAAGGCAAGATTTATATGGAGCTATACCTATCTCATAGAGCTGGAAGAGACTTTGAGGCCAGTCCCCTGCCCTCATGGCAGGGCCAAGTACCCTCCCTGATGGATTTTTCTTAGATCCCTAAGCAGGTCCCCAAGGATTGAACTTACCATCCTGGGTTTAGCAGGCCAATGCTCAAACCACTGAGCCATCCCTCCCCTTGCTTTTATTTCCCAGAATGTCTTATTCCAGGATAGGACTGCTTACCAGGCTGCCGTGGTGGACTGCATCTCTGAGCCTGCCCTTTTCTCCAGGTTCTGAGAGAGAGGCTGGCTGTACTCACAAAGTGCTTGTTTGACCGCTCCTGATAGAGAATACAAAAAGAGTTACCGCTCATAGAGTCATGGCACTTTCTCATGGCGCACCAGGATCAGGACTTAAATCCAGGGTCCACAGGAGCAGTACGAATTCCAAACTGCTTCTCCCATCATAGTCACAGCAGCTGCTGTCCCACAAGAATTGGTAAAAGCTACACTGGAATGGAATAGTGCTTGGTACAGGAGGGTTCCCCTCCCAAGCCTCAAAGATCTGTGCGTCAAAGTGCAGCCATTTGGAACTAGCACTTTTTCCTGTGGGCATTTTCATCCCTCTCCAGGTGGGCTTTTCTGGTTTCACATTAACTTGTTTGAAAGGAGCCTCCAGATTTGGGACTCTGGAGAACTAGGTTCCAAAGACCCACTGTCCCTGATATGAGAGGCGCAGCTCATGCCAAGGGAATTAGTTGGTGCGCTTGCCAATGAATACGCATGATTGATTATCTTAGTACAAAGGTCTTTCAGTGTTTTGAGATGCTGGGTTTTCTCCTGCCCCAAGATCACATGGGGAGGGGTACATGAAAAATTCTGATGGCTCTGGCTTCCATTGGCTCTTGCTGCAACTCTGCTGATTACTAACATAGCAGCAATAGTAGGTTCCATGGATGTAAATACGCAGAATTCGCATCTGTGTCAATGCTTTCATTTTATCTCGTGGTCATCTGGGTTAGAACTAGCTGATCTTGCTGAATAAAGGTATAAAAACCTGCAGCAACAGAAATCAGGCATGTTCAGGAAGAACACCCTTCAACTCAAATTGAAGACATTTTAGGGTTGCTTTGCCATCCCCCTTCTCCCAACTCTGGCTAGGGTTGACAGATGGTTTAACCAAAAATACCGACCCCCCCCCCCGACCCGAAAAATTCTGTTGAGGGGAAAAAAAGAGGGGGGAGGGAGACCAAAGTTGTTGAGCAAAAAAAAAAAATTAAAATTAAATATTAAAACAGCATGGCCCTTTTCAGAGTGCCCGCAGAGTCAGAATAGCGATAGGGACAGGGGAGCGGTTGAGCACTAAGACCCAGGGAAGGCATTGGTTCCTCTTGCGCTTTAGGATTTTTGCTAGCAGCCATTTTGTTTTCTTGATCAAGCCAGAACTCAGCTTCCCTGCGGAACCAGGTAAGCAGGGGGTCCGGGAGCAGGGGGAGAGGTTGGGGGCGGGTGCTGGGGCTGGGCCCAGTCGCCGAGTGTATTGTAGGGTTGCCAGGTGTTCAGTATTTTTGCTTCCTGTCCAGGAAAAAAAATCAGAAAATACCGGACATTTTAGATGTCTGGTTTTTTCTGAATTTTTTTACCGGACAGGAGGCAAAAATACCAGATTGTCTGGGTCAATACCGGACATGTGGCAACCCTAACTTTGGCACACTCAGCCACAGAGGAGAACTGTGAAATACTAAGAGGGGAGAGGTCTGGGATTTGCCCCCTTTCTTGAGAGCTAGGAGATGTCTCTTTAATTCCTCCTTTCACCTTCCTCCCTAATATTAAATAACAAATACAGATTATAGTCACCAAAAGTGAAACCTTCCCCATGTCCCCAGTGGTATGAATGAAGGATGTACTGTTTAAAGCAGAGGTGGGGAACCTTTTGGAGTCAGGGGCCGCTGACCCACAGACAGATCAGTTGAAGGCTGCACGCAAGTGAGAAGCAGAAAAAACCCTCACTGTGGGCCCCCGAATGAGAAGGAGAAAGACACTCCCCACATTCCCCTCACACACCAGAGCCTGGGGGTGGGCAGCCTAATACATTTCCTGTGATCCAGCCCTATGGGATGTAGTGGGGGGACTGGAACATGAGTGCAGGCTTCCCAATATTGGGAGAGGCCCTGGGCCTCGGGGGCATGCTCTGGGCCCGAGGTTCCCCACCCCTGGTTTAAAGGCACAATTACTCTAAAGAGCAGCTTTGCAATGGCTGTGGTTCTTATTAGCCTTCAGACACGTTCTGTTACCACGCAGGGTATAAGAACACCATCAAAGAGAGAGGCTTGGGATGTTTGATACCTTTCAGTTTATGTTCTAGCTTCCATTTTATTTCTAATTCTCTTTTGGAAGCTTTTACATACAATGTCTTTCCCTGCAGCCAATATTGATTTTTGTCTTATGGGTTTCAAATGCAGAAAGAGTCAGCACCTCTCTCTTGTATTTACCTCTACACATTTTGTGCAGGGTGTGTGTGGAAATTGGAGTGGAGTTTTTGAGCTAATTGCTTAGCAGCAGCCCTGCAGAGGGAGCATGCTCTTCTGTTGTGGTTTGTTGGTTGGTCGATTTTATTAATTATTACTTGCACCTCTCCCTCTCTTTTTTTATTCTACTTTAAGGTAGGGACAAATTAGAGCCAGACTTTGGCACACTCAGCCACAGAGGAGAACTGTGAAATACTAAGAGGGGAGAGGTCTGGGATTTGCCCCCTTTCTTGAGAGCTAGGAGATGTCTCTTTAATTCCTCCTTTCACCTTCCTCCCTAATATTAAATAACAAATACAGATTATAGTCACCAAAAGTGAAACCTTCCCCATGTCCCCAGTGGTATGAATGAAGGATGTACTGTTTAAAGCAGAGGTGGGGAACCTTTTGGAGTCAGGGGCCGCTGACCCACAGACAGATCAGTTGAAGGCTGCACGCAAGTGAGAAGCAGAAAAAACCCTCACTGTGGGCCCCCGAATGAGAAGGAGAAAGACACTCCCCACATTCCCCTCACACACCAGAGCCTGGGGGTGGGCAGCCTAATACATTTCCTGTGATCCAGCCCTATGGGATGTAGTGGGGGGACTGGAACATGAGTGCAGGCTTCCCAATATTGGGAGAGGCCCTGGGCCTCGGGGGCATGCTCTGGGCCCGAGGTTCCCCACCCCTGGTTTAAAGGCACAATTACTCTAAAGAGCAGCTTTGCAATGGCTGTGGTTCTTATTAGCCTTCAGACACGTTCTGTTACCACGCAGGGTATAAGAACACCATCAAAGAGAGAGGCTTGGGATGTTTGATACCTTTCAGTTTATGTTCTAGCTTCCATTTTATTTCTAATTCTCTTTTGGAAGCTTTTACATACAATGTCTTTCCCTGCAGCCAATATTGATTTTTGTCTTATGGGTTTCAAATGCAGAAAGAGTCAGCACCTCTCTCTTGTATTTACCTCTACACATTTTGTGCAGGGTGTGTGTGGAAATTGGAGTGGAGTTTTTGAGCTAATTGCTTAGCAGCAGCCCTGCAGAGGGAGCATGCTCTTCTGTTGTGGTTTGTTGGTTGGTCGATTTTATTAATTATTACTTGCACCTCTCCCTCTCTTTTTTTATTCTACTTTAAGGTAGGGACAAATTAGAGCCAGCTCTTGACAGTGCAGCATTTTCCACATGTTTAATACCTGTCTGGTGCTCTTGACAGGAGCCATATTGGTCTCCGTGGAGACGGATGTCTTCTGTTTATCCACAGGCTGGCACACATGGTCAGCTGCAGCACCACGCTGCCTCCCACCTCACTTGGACCTAGCGCTGTTTCCTTGGGGATAGCTGAGGAGCATACAAGACTCTTCAGGAGGAGGCTCCAAAGGCAGCTTTTGTGCTGTCTCAGTCCTGCACTAACTAGGCAAGGCTGGTCCTCTGGTGTAACCTGTGGCTGCAGCTTAGAAGTTGTTTTAAATTCTGCTGGCTATTAATGCCCTCAAGAGGCCATGGTGCTAGTTGGGGATTGCCCAGGTATAAGGAACCTCAACCATATCTCTTCGCCATACTGGCTGTGTCAGCACAAGGGAGCATACGAGCCACTACATAAGCTCTGTACTTTCAGAGGATCCCAGAGCAACCTGCGACTTGCCACCCTGGCTCACGGGGGGGACCTGAAGCTTTTGCACCACAAGGGAGATTCTGGGCTGGATCAGTAGGATTTAGAGGCAGGTCAACCTCCAAGCCCATTTAGTCCCTGGCTTCTTCCTTCAGACTGCCAGCAAGATTGCCGAGTTGTGTTAATTGTGGTGATGGTTTTTTGTGGAGATACACTTGGGCACTGAGAGTCATTTAAGTATTGTGATGAGGGCTGGCATTATAAAACCCTGGGGCAGATAAAGAACTAGTCTGAGGCCATCCAGCCTAAGGTCCCAAATAGCTCTCCCAGAATAACAAGTGTAAGTCACTACTGACCTGGACAGGATTCAGAGTGCCACTAAAAGTAACGGGCCTGTTACAAAGTGAGCCAATTCGCTCCCACCAGCGTCACAGACTCTGAGTGACAGGCTTTTCAGCCTGCTCTGGTCAGTCTAGTCTAGTCAGTCGTTTCCTGAAGCTTGTTTTGTCAAGATGCCTCCTCCTATTTGTAATACAGGCAGTCCCCGGGTTACGTACAAGATAGGGACTGAAGATTTGTTCTTAAGTTGAATTTGTATGTAAGTCGGAACTGGTACATATTGTAGGGGAAACTCTAGCCAAACATTTCTCCAGAGCTCAGTTTTATTCTCCCACACCTCACTTCCCTCAGTCCTTTATTCTCAATCTGAGGTGTCTGCTGAGAAAAGCCGCTTCGCGTCTCCCTGGTCTGCTGGGGCGGGTGCGAGCTTCGCGTCTCCTTGGTCTGCTGGGGGGAAGCAGCTAGTGCGGGGTTGCCTCACCCCATTTGTAAGTCGGATCCATGTAACCCGGGGACTGCCTGTACTTTGTTCCATTAGCCAGACTAGCCCAGGGTAACTCCAGTAATCAGTTCATATTAGGAATTCAGTACAAATTAGTTATATAGATAATTGTTTTATCATCAATCAGGGTAGACAACAGAGCAGTAATAACAAGTGGTAAATTGACTGTGTGTTTGAAAACCAAGCAAGGCATTTCTTCCTTAAACACTGATGTGAGGAAGGAGGAAATGATATGGAAGATTTAGAGCTTACTCAGCTATGTGTAACCTCACAGATAACTGAGGCTGACAGCCATCCAGCTCAGCTTGCAAACCTCCCTGTTCCGCGTTCTTCTGTCGCCTCGCAGAGTCTATCATCTCCATTTAACAGCAACTGCTCGGTAGCAGTGGGAATGAGCCTTAATCATACCTATTTGTGACTGCGTTTCTTTCTTGGCTTCACTTTAGCCAAGGCAAATTAATTATATGCCTTTGGTGTGCCAATTCTGAGATTCAGAGGGTCTGAAAATTAGTGTTAGTTTCTCTCTTAGGAACATCCTCTAAATCCTAGAACGCCTAAATGCCAAATTGTTATTAAAAGTCAGAAATGACTACCGCTTCCTATTTTACAAAATGATTCTATAGCAAGGTAAAATATTCCGTGTGCTTTTCCATGTTCTCTTTAATGTACATTGCTTACAAACAGCATACTTTGGAAAGAACCTTGGGAGTTCTCAAATGGTCTTAATGTTAAGTATTCTCCTTCTTAACAGACCCAGTTGTAGCATTGCCTTCAGAACCTCAGCTACACTAACATTAAAGTTTGTTTGGTTTGTTTGTTTATTTGTATGGCTGGTGACATTTTGAGGCTTTTTTCCTTTCTCCAATGGGAATCTCTCTTTCACCTAACTGCTTATATGCACCACTGTATTATCTGAGTGCCTCACAATCTGTAATGTATTCCCCATTCCCTGTGAAGTAGGGTATTGCTATTATTCTCATTTCACAGATGGGGACGGAGACATAGAAAAGCTAAGGGACACATTTTAAAGGTATGAAGGTGCTGAACTCCCATTGAAATCCATGAGAGATAGGGCACATCTACACACCAGGGCTAAACTCAAAATAAGCTACACAACATGAGTTACGCTAATTGTGTAGCAGAAGTAGAAATAGCTTATTTCGACTTTTGGCGCTGTCTACACAGCAATTATTTTGAGATAGAGCACTCTACACCCGACTTCCCTTACTCCTCATACAATGAGGGTTACAGGAGTCGGAGTAAGCAGTCCTCCAGCTCGACATTATTTCAACATTGTGTCAAAATAACTGCTTGGGTGTAGACACGGACTATTTTATTTCAGAATGACATCAGTTATTCCGAAATAACGCTGCTGTGTAGACATAGCCTTAGTGGCCTAAAAGTCTTTGTACATCCAGGCCTAAGTGATTTACCCAAGATCACTGAGGAGGTCTCCTAAGTTCCAGACTGTATCAAAACCAGCGACCATCCATCCTCAGCGGCAAATTATTTTGATGAAAAAATAGTCAGGGGAAGGAAGAGAATTCAGATGGAATTTCTGCCAAGTTCCCTCCTCCAGTAGAAATATAAAAACCCTTTCTAAATTTTGATAAAGTTTTAACTATTTTGACAAAAAAAAATTAATTTCTTTAGTGGTGATTCCACCCCTCTATCCAACCCCCACCCTTAGTTTTCTCAATTGCCATAGAGATTTAAAAAATACCAAAAAGTTGTGTTCTTAACATGAAATTTCCAGCTGTCTCAGAAGGGCCGGGTCCAGGTGAATTCCCTCCGGTTCTCCTTCCCTTGTGCTTTCATTTTCTTCTTTACTGTCGGCAGGCAATTGGCATCCGACTCAACGAGCTGTGCCACAGTGAAAGTGAGAGCCCGGCCAACCTGCTGGGCCTCATTTATGATGACGAGACCAAGCGGAGACTGAGAAAGGAGGATGAGGAGGAAGACTTTTTAGATGATAGTAAGGAGACTCCCTTTACTACAAGAACCCCCGCTTGTAAGAACCTCTGCTTTAGGAGCACTTAATTTTCTTCTTCTCTTTCATATTCTTCCCACCCGACTGTATTCCCCACCAATTCCCTTCCCTGTTTTCCTGTGCCTAGATGTGAAATACACCACATGCGTAGGAGCAGTAAGAGACAATGAAAAGAATAGCATAAAAAATGCAGGAGAACCCGTTCCAATTACTGTAGATTGTGATTATAAATGAAAACTGATACATCTTTTATCTCGAGGCTCAAGTGTCTGTATACCATTCTGACACCCCCTCTTCAAAGATGTCCTTCCCAAAATACAAAACCAAAACATTTTTTTGCAGAATCAGCCAGACCTGAATTTTGTGAATATTGACAGACCAGATCTTCAGCTGGTGTAAATTGACATAGCTTCATGAAATGCTTTTGATTTAAGTATTTTAATTTCCATGTAGTGATGCTAGCACACATATATAGTGAGGCGGTACAGAGAATTTGATTAAAAACATACAACGTACCAAATGTGCAAATAAACTCATTTTAAAGAGAGTCACAGATTCCGGAAGTAAATAGCCACACAAATTGTAATGTGATCTAGAATCAGAATCAATACAGTGACATCACATACAGATGTAGACTATAGATAAAGATAGCAATGAACATTCTGTTGTCCCCAAACACTTTTGTATATGCGTGTGCTGTAATGTACTGGTGTGTGTGTGTGTATGCATACTACTGTTTTTCCACTGAATGTAATATGTTAGTGCTGTTTATGTATCAATTGACTTCCTTTTTGTGGTTCAGAAGCTGCTCTTTTCACTGCATAAAGGCCACTCTGGTAGAGGCAATGGAATTCTACTCATGTGAAATCACTGAGCAAGAGGAAAATCAGGCCTTCAGTATCTGAATTTTCTTCCCAGCACTTCATAATATACCATTTCTTCCTGACCACAGTGGCGGAGCCTAAGTGACCCTGGATAGTTGTACTGGGCCACATTCTGTTTGACCCAGATGCTTGTATACATCAAGGGGTGGAATGCACAAGGAACCTTCCCTGTCTATCTTAAATGACCCATGAGAGGTCCCTGTGATTGAGAGAGCCTGGTCTGTTCAATTCCTACTCCCCCCTGGTACCAGGTACTCCAAAAGGACGGGGCTAGGATGCCGGGCTACTGCATAGGATAGGTTCATGGGGGAAGCTAGTGGGCAAGGAAGTTCAGAGAGCCACTGTGACTTAGTCTACACTCTGTGTTTTGATGGCCTGACTATGTTGGCCAGCAGTGAGAAAACAAATCACACTCCTTAGCTGAATGACAGCAAAACCCTCTGTGCAGAAGAGACTATGCTGATAAAAATGTGCTTCTGTCTCCTTAGCTATTGTCATTTGGGGCAGAGGTAGTTATGCTGGTAAAAATCCTTCTGCTGGCTTACACTGTATCCCTAGTAGAACGCTCTGCAGTGTAACAAGCAGAGTATCTGCTCTAGAGCTTCCCCATGGAATTTTGGGCTGTGTCTGTTAGGCATGCCTTGGCCCACTGTGACCATAGACTACACCCTTGGGTTCCCCAACACCCCATAGATTCCCCGTGTTTCTGCTTGTTCAGATCATTCTAATTTCTGTGAACTCTCCATCACTTATGAGAGGTGAAATAAATGAACGCGCTTGCAAGTGAGGCAAACGTAACCGTGCTTCATCTAGTAGCTATCTAGTAGGTCTCTCCATCCCTGAAACCTTCCCTTGTTTGTTCAATATCTGCATGTTTCTTTGTGAAAGACAACAGGATCAGATATGAGAAAAACCAGGGGAAACATAAAATCTCCAAATTACATGTAGATGGTTCATTAAATGACAAGCCCAAAACATTCCAAAAAAATCAGCATTGTTAGTAGTTACAAGGGACCCCAAAACAACTACCAGCTTTTTTCCCTTCTGTATGTTCACCAAAAAGAAAATGTCACAAGGACACTTCATACTTTTCAAGTATGGAGTGGTGGTGGACCAGCTGAAAAAATATCATGAACATAATAAATTCTGAAGCTAAGCATATAAACTCCAATTCAGCAAAGCCATTTATACATGCTCTTATCTTTAAGCATGTGAGTAGTTCCAGTTCTGTAAAGTCAAGCATGCATATAAATACTTGGCTTTGCTAAATCCCTCTTTCATGGAAATTTGTACTTTACTAATTTCCAAACACTTGATGGTGCAATAACCTGCCCGATGTTGCCCACGCCCTAAATAACATTTGTATTCATTATGTAGAACAAAAGTGAAGGGCTGCTGTTTTATTTAGTCTTCTAGACAGTTATTAGCAGAACTTCTACGTTGACTAATTCGCAATGATGTATATGATTTCCCATTCCCAATCTTATAATCTTATAATTTCAGCTGGCTGCTGATGTGTTATTGGTTTGAGTTCATGTTCATTGAGGACACAAGTTTAGCCATGATTGCCATCAATGCAAAAGTCTAAAGGGCATAAAATATCTGTGTTATGCTAATATATAATAATGTATGTAGAGTTTATATTTTCAGACCACTTCAAGTTAGCGGATGTTTTGATAACAATATACCTCACTGTATATGGGATTTGTGCCAACAGATAGATACATGCATGGATCTGTCCTTTTAATATTAGAAAAGTAATATAGGGGTCTAGAATTTAATCATAACACTTTTCATATGCACCCTGCATTGTGCTCCATATGTGTCCATCAATTCTTGGTTCCACATTTTGTATCATGTGTTCTCTTACCAAGCAAATCTCATTTCCCAGGTACTGTAAACCCTACCAAATGTTGTTGCCCCTTTGCCCTGAAGATGGCAGCATGCCAACTTCTCTTGGAGATTACCACCTTCCTTCGAGAGACGTTCCCCTACATGCCCAGGCCACGTACTGAGCCTCTCGTGGTAAGTGAGCCACAGGAATTAGAGATGGAGACTTTCCTATGAGGTTAATTTCCTCATAAATTTGATGAAAAGCATAGATGGGTGTCAGGAATTTAATTGTGGTGAAGTTTCCACAAAAGGCTGAACAATTAAGATCCACCATTCCCATTATTTTTAACAGAAGTCTTACACCTAAATCTCAGTACCTCACTAATGACAATTTACCTGACAGGCTGACATGATGTGGCATCATGGCAATTAGATTTTGAAGTTGGTTGCTAAAATATTTTATAGCTCTCCAATGAAATGAATCAGTCAAAAGCTATGCAGCAAAGGAGAAAATCCATATGGCTCTTTGTTGACTATTTTACCACATAATAAATGGCAGTGTTACAAAACCACAGGGTCTTAGAGGTGAAAATGCATCTGACTATAACAGATGTGTGGAAATTAAGAACATCCTGGCTAATTAGGATCCATAGAAATCTATGTCTCTGAGCCACAAGAAATGCTTCTGATTAATAAATTTTTCACACTCTGCTGTGGGAAAAGGAGAGGAGCACTTGCTGGATAATGAGAAGCTGGACGAAAACATAATCTCACTGGGTATCAGAAATATTAGCATTAGCCTGACTTTGTGAATGTACTGAACAATTATGGCCCCATGACATTCAGGAAATCATCTGCACTGAATGTTATGTTTTAAGTTAGATATGGGTTAATGGGGGTTTCTTTGTGCAAAGAAAACTTTCTGGCCTGCTTGTGGTTTTAAAGAGAATTGGGCATATAAAGATTTGTTTCCTTTTTGTTGTTATTGCTGATAAAGGCAAATCACTCCATCCAAACTAGTTGGGCTGAATTGCTTTAAGTTTTGCCTTCATTTGCAATGTGATCTGAGTGCATCTCTCAATGCTCTTGGATCATTTAGCAACTTGTGGATGTTTTCCTAAAGCCAGGTGTGCACTGTTGGGCAATGAACAATTAATTAAATCCTTTCAGCTAGTCTGCATCCACGTTTGTTTGGACTAAACCAGTTAAACTGGGATTTGCAGCACTGCCTTATAGAGTTGAGGTGCCCAGTTCCCAGTAAACCAAGGTGCCCAGCTCCCCAGACCAACCTTAAACTGATTGTTGTAGTAAGTGCAAGAGTCACACTCTTGGTGAGTCCAACAATTGGTATCTGAAGGGACATTATATTGCTCTATCCATTGTCCTGAAAATAGGGTGCATAGCACATTCATCATCGTTAACCAGATCACCTATAGATCAGAAGCCCAGTTGATGGTGCTGTTCATACCTTCCACCATAACAATACCCCTTTGCATTGGGCACACGGTGGTTGAGATCCAAATTCAATTGGGCTTTGAAAGTGTATCAGGGTAGAGATGAAGGGAGTAGTCCAACTGGGAATTTGGAAGTAGGATTCCCATTTGAGGGCAGTTTTTGCTACAACGATAATCTTTTGTTGCTAGAGAAAAGTATAAGGGCTCACGCTATTCATGTGTTTCTGTGGTCCACATGATGCTACAGGACCTGGAGAGCTGCAGGTTGCGTCTGGACCCTGAGCTGGACAGGCACAGGTATGAGAGGAAGATCAGCTTTGCTGGGATTCTGGATGAAAACGAAGATTCAAAAGACTCACTGCACAGCAGCAGCCACACCCTCAAATCTGACACCGGCTGTGAAGAGAAGAAAGGTTTGTCAGCAGAGTGAAGCTTGCATGTGCTTGGGGCTTGTTCTGTGATGCTGTATGCTGTGTCTCTCCATTCCCATAGACTGTGCTAAAAAACAGGAAGCCACAGAGCCACATGGCTTGACTATTTTCTGAGCTATCTTTAAACTGTAATGTTGCATATGCTGGGTGTGAAAAGCAAAGATTTCTTAGTCATCTGGATAATGATATTAGCAGAACCAAACGGAGGTTCGAAAAAGCAAACTGTGTAAATTCAGTAGTACCGTTCGGTGCAATACTCAGAAGTATTTGATTTGATTTTTGTATTTTCTTCAGTGTGGGGTAAAAGCCACACATGGGCTGAAAGATTGCACTATTCTGTTAAAATACCTACTTGTTCAGAGTTCATGGCATTTAACAGAATTAGTGGTTTAACACCAGGTCACTTTTGGTTCTTTACTACTACATGAAAAACACTTACCTATGTGGCTCTTAATGGCTAACAAGTTAATATTACCAACATATTGCGTACTGTACAAGCAAAGCTCGAGCTCACTGTGTTTGCTGAGGGCAGCAGAATGTTTTTCATTTTAAAACCATCTCATGCAAAACCCCCATACTATCTGATGGTACAAGTGTTGCAATACAATACACAGTCAGTAGTTACACTAGTTGACATTAGAGTCTGTATGCTCTGGACAGTTACCTGTTGACAGTCCAGTTTGTGTTTTAGGTTAGAAGATTTGCAAGGCAAACTGTTCAAAATTCCTTTCGTAACAGAGATGCACAGATATAGACATTCTGTAACAATGTTTTTAAGGGATGGAATTGATGGTTTTGGATTTTGTGAAGAATTATATTTGTGTGCTAAATAATGCAGATCATCCAAAGCTATCCACTGTAGTAACTTTCTTTTGCAGTCAACCATGAGATTTCCCTTGAATATAAAATTTGAATAGGGCTTTGGATCAGGCCTGTAATGCATTCATGTTCATGATAAGCTGCTATTACATACACAAGTAGATATATTCATATGTGAAATGTTTCCAAAACTCATGTGTAAAACTGTCTGCAAAAGTGTGTGGAATGGACCGGCTACTGATGGTGAAGGCAGCATCCCATTAAGCTGCAAATAGTCATAGAATCCTAGAACCCTGGGATACAACTTTAATTTTTAAAAAGGCTTCCATAGCAACTGCCTGCAACCATCTTGTGCTGTGAGGCCATCACACCTTCTGAGAAAAGCAAGGATGGGCTGTCAGGGTAGATGGATAGGAGGCCTCCTCAAAACAATAGGTGCTGCAGGGAATGATACCGGTGAGAACATGGGATTGAGTTTGCCCCTGCATGGTTACTGTGCTGCACACTTTTGGATACAGTGTAAAATCTTTATTATCTCAAGAGCAATTCCAGTTCATTCTCCCTAACTAAATTCTCCATGCAGTTTCAAAAGCCATGCTTCACTTCTTGCTGTGAGGTTTGGTGTCATGTCACCATGCAAGTTTTACGAAGCTACTACATTGTGCCCAGAGGCAGCTGTGTTTTAGTGGTGGGGAAAAATGATCCCGATATGGAGGCTGCATTTCAGTTTATACATTAGCAAAGCGCTTTGCAGTATTGTACTGAAATATGCTAAACAAATACACAATTTTTTTAAACTGTTCTTTGCTGTGGCTACAGCCTACTCTACTGGGAATTTACTTGAGCTAAAATGTATCAGATACAAAGAGATCTTTCTGAATCTAAAATTGTCTAGCTGAAAATTGTTGTTGTGTGACTGTAACTAATTTTTTCTCACCCGCAGTGACAAAAGGACAGTATCATTACCCCAATCTTTTTGACAAGTAATAATCCCTTTCTTTCCTTTCATCTCCTCTTGAGTGGTAATTACTTTGCTCGATTGGTCAACCCAGATGTGTCTTAACAGCTAAGCAAAAACTACCATTTTACTATGTCTAACCTGCTACAGGTAGGTCCAAAGCATAGATGTACCAATTTAGGGTAACAGGTAGCCCCCAGAAAGTTTATGTACTAATTGTGTGCTAAGAAGTTTCTAAACTAGGTGTGCCAAAACAGCTGTGCATTTCAGGGGAATATCGGCAGCTGTGCTGAGGTTAACAGAATCTAGCCAACTATAAGTTAAGTCTCAGTTCAGTCACAGAGAACGAGATACTTAAATCACTCAACACTGATTAGTTTGGCTAATTAATAAGTAGTGCTCATTAGCTCCAAAAAGGAGACCCATCCAGGCCTATTCCATCGTTAGGAAAGATAAACCAGAAAAATGGGCCTCTGGGTGGTATGAGAGTATTAAGATGGGGAACTAAGAGGGGTTTTTGAGGCTCAGAAGATTGAGTTTTCAAGTCCAAATATAATTATATTTATGTATTTTTCTTATATATACCAAAAGGTTTATACAAGTCCCGTTTGCACAGTGCACCAAAAGGTGATCTCGTGTGTTCTTCTCTGAATAGATCAACAGTTTAATGACTGAGTGTTGCAACATTTGGACTGATGTGCTGCCATTGTTTCGCCTTTGAATTAAGAGAAGAATAAAATGCAAATGATTGGTGCTTTGAACATTGAACCATTTCATGTTTGTGCTCATCAGAAACAAAAAAAGTCTCGGTGTATTTTTAGTGCCTGAAAGCTGCTGCCTTGTCTGAAGGAGGGGAACTACATGCTACAGTTTCCTTTAAAACATCCCAGTGATGAAGAACAACATGCAAAGACAGGGATTTATGCAAATCTAACTTCTTCTAATGAACTAGGTGATCTTGCTACAGGGGCAGATCTGGGTTTGCAAACCTTTAGTCAGAAGGAGAGTCAGAGAAGCCATGTCTGCATCTGGCATTCAACCGCTGGTGGGCAGCAGCTGTTGGATGTGCACCAGTGCAAATTCCAAGTTGAGCAAAGAAAGCCACAGTTGGCACCAGCTGAGTCTACTTGAGTTTCAAGCATGAATGAACTCTACCAGTGCCAATTGTGATGTACCTTGCCTTTGCTTGGGGTTTCTGCCAGTGCAGCTCACCCATTTGCTGGACATCAGTGGTCAAAACAGGGTTAATCGCAAATATAAACAAGCCCGGCGCTGATGTAACATGTTTACAGGAAGAAGATTCTGAGCACATTTCTGTAAAGCATCCCGTCCTGAGTGATAGATAGATCTGCACTGGTGCTGGCTGGCTTTGGAGGGACCCTCTTGCCCATCTTCCTTGACAGAAGTCAAGTTGCTGTAACACAGGCTGACAATCAGGAGTCGGTGGGACGGGGGGACTAGGATTTTTTTTAAATGGGAGAAAAGTAAGGGGGAAAAGTCCTCTTTTATTCTTTTAATGCAGTTTCCAGCAGGAAGATCAGGATAGGAGGCTCCCGCTTGCTCCAGATTAAAGGAACCCGCAGTTTCCGGGTGAAGAAGGGGGGTTCCCTGTCCAGCATTCGCCGGGCCGGCAGCCTAAAGAGCACCAAGTTATCACGGCAGGACTCAGAGTCTGAGAATGAGGAGCTGCAGCTGTCCCACAGCAGGGACACTGTCACTGACATAGGTAACATAGATGAGATGGGCTAAAAAGGGAGTGGGGCTTATTAGGCAGCATCCAGATTCTGATATGATTAAAGCAGGTCCAGAAACAATAAATAAATATAAAGATTGGTTAGAGTAGGAGAAATCGCCATCCCTATGAGTTAAGCAGTCATCTTTTCCCTCCTCATGGAATGCCTAAGCTAACACCCAGGAAGGCCAGAGTTCAAATCTTGCCATTGGTGCACACTGGAATGTAAATTCTACTCCACAGAAAAATTTTCAATTTAAATCTCAGTGTTAGTGTATGAACTCTTAAAATACTAAATTACCAGACTGCCAGCCAATTTCATGCTGTGGTTAGGAGGAGATATGCACACGTGTATGTGTGCGCACACGTGAATCATATGATAATATAGATATATAACATTTACAAATCATATATTATATATATGACATTATATGTGCAATATATATAATATTATTGTGTTATACATTTTATTATCCACGATAGTAGATATTGCATGTGTATACATGCAGATTTTATATTGTATGATATTATATATATATACACATATTTTATATAATATATCATATAATATTCTACACATGCATGTCATATGAGAGTGTAATAGACTGTACAATTATTTTATGTACAATGTAGGGATGTAAGCAACGAATTGACTCAACTAGTCACTTCCCCCATCCTTGCTGCCTCTGTCAGAGAGGCAGCAAGTGGGGGAGCAGGCTTAAAAGCCAGTTAAAACTGTCTCTGTGCGGGGGGAGGGATAGGGGTGCAGTGGGGAACTGGCAGTGCTTCCACCTTTGAAATGTAGCAAGAGCAGAGCTACATTTCAAAAGCAGAAGAGCCACAGGAGCAGGGGGTAGCTGGGGACTCAAGCAGTGCCCCGCTAGCCCCGCCCTCCCGACTTTTGAAATGTACAACAGCCCCAGAGGGCTCCCCATGGCGCTTCTGCCTTTGAAATGTAGCAAGAGCCAGCATCAACTATTTGATTAGTTGATTAATCTAAATGTAACATCTTTAATACGATGTCCTTCAAAAATTAGTCCTTATACATTTATTTTATGTCCACATCACAAGAAATCTCTGTCGCAATTGGCACAAAGTGATAGGGATGTCAACAAAGATGTCAAGGATTGAATAACAACTGAGGCTGAACTAACATCCCAACCCCAAAGGCCCTTCTGACCCTGTCAGCTGTCCCTCTCTCGTGGCTCAATAGGAAAGCTAATTCTTAATCTGGATACCTTTGCACACCATAAATTCACTAGAAAAAGTAAAAGAAGACAGGACTAACCTGAGTTTAGCCAGACCCTTACTGATGTTCATGGTAAAATGCCTCCCAAAGCAACTTGTGTTCTCAAATGTGGGCATTATGGAAGACCCCTGGTGGCTGCAGGAAACACTGGGATCCGTTCAGTGACAAGTCAGAGCTCTCTCCCTTGCCCTAGTTCTCTCGAATTAGCATGAATAGAGTGTGGATTTTTTCCCCTTTATATTATTGTCTTTTCATTGGGCACTTAATGGTGACATTGCCTGGTGGTGGCGGCGGCAGCAGGCTGATTCCACTTCAGGTTGGATTTTTGTTGACGTTTGTAACCACGCGGTCCAGTCAGTGCAGATCATTGAACTAATTTGCAGCATCTTAGTGATGCCAGGAATTTGTTTCCAGTATTTTTACTCCCTCCCCGCTCTGCCAGAAAGGGAACAATGCTCCCCACTGACTAGCTGGCAAATTAACAGTGACTGTGAATGCTGCTTGTAATTGCCAGTCCAGCTGATGGCAGGCGGGAGGGTTCCAAGTGCAGTTGGTTCTATGCACAGTGATTGGTCTCAGCAAGGCTGGCCTGGCTTACAAGCACTTTCCCTAGCTTTTAACACATGGGGTAGCCGAGAAGACAGCCACATTATGGGGTATTTTTCTTTTGAAGAAGGGAGCCCTTGGAGTGCAAGTGAGCCCAGCATTGAGCCTGAAGTGCTGAGTAGCACAGGCACGGAGGAGAATTACCATCGAAACATGTCGTGGCTGCATGTAAGTACAGGTCCCTTGAGATGCTCTCCGACCTAGCACTTTGGGGTTTCAAAATGAATGATTATGACACACGAGGGGTAAACTGTTCACAATTCACGCTCAGTTAGCGCGGCATTAGGGCTGGCAAGTGTCCATAGGCTGCAGCTGAAGAAGAGTGGCTGCTCCCCATCTGTAAAAGGGAGATAATGCTTCTTGTCTCCCACCACTTCTCTGTCCTCTTGCTTTAGATGATAAACTTTTTGCCCTGGGATCACCCCTTGCCGTGCGTGTGTACAGCACTTAACACAGTGGGGCTGCAGTCTCAGTCAGGCCCTCTCTCTTTACCTGAACAGCCTCCTAATCTGCATACCTTTGCAAATTGTAAATTCACTTAAAAAGAAGACAGAATTCACCTGAGCTCTATGGCCCCAAGCACCTGAGCTTCTCAGAGTTCTCGGTGTATTTATCCTCACAACAGAACAGTGGTATTATTTCCAGGTTGCAGGTGGGGCACTAATACTCAGACCAAGTGACTCCCAGGACACTGAGCCCAGACCTTCCCACTCCTCAGCGGATATCCTAACTGCGGGTCCATCCTTGCTGTCAGGCACTGCTGTTGTACTAATAATGACCATACACACCGTAGAAATGCCAGTACATTGGCTTGACTCCTAGTCTGAGCCACCCGAAGGTGCAGTCATTGGCGGACAACTTGATCCCCTTGCATCTGGTGGAGAGTGCAGTGGTGAATTTTCCCATGATCAGGATAGACCCACTCATCAATTCAAGGCATAGACTAGAGGGAGCTAAGAATATTGCTGTGACCTTGCCTGCCTGGTATTTAGTCTACATAGATGAAAGTCTGGAGAATTTTAAGGAGTGTTGTGGAATAAAGCCAGGGTAAAATGGGGTGGGTTGTTAATGCACAGCACCTCTCCTCTCACAAGCAAATGTGTACTGAGTGAGGGCGGGGGGGCCCTGCTCCACTTGCCTCCCTTCTCGGTTGACTTTGGGTATTTCACTGCTATGCGTTTGGAGTAAGAGGGCATTCACTAATGCCTGTCTAGATCCCTTGACCTGAAGGTACCTTCCAGTCCCCAAGTTCTGCAGGAGCTACTCCTACCCTGCATAGCTAGCAGCTGCAGGGGACCCCTAGATGGGTCTGGGTTACCAGGGGCTGGGTTTATTTCTGTTTGGGAACAGGGAAGCCCTCCTGTTTGAATGGAACCAACTCAGAACCACAATAGGGCACCTAGTGTTTAATGGTGGTCAAATATTTGACCAGTTCTAACCCTGCCTCTCCCCCCCCCCTTTTTTTGTCAAACGGAGGTCAGTAACAAAAGAGTCTTTACATGAAATGGAGGGAACGCTGCTTGTCTTGGGCCTTCTCTCTCTGCCAAACTAGTGCTCCTGTACTTGGAGTAACTCTCACACACCCCCTTTGGGTTCCAGGTCATGATCCTGCTGTGCAACCAGCAGAGTTTCATATGCACCCATGTTGATTACTGCCACCCGCACTGCTACCTCCACCACAGCCGCTCCTGCGCTCGCCTGGTCCGAGCCATCAAACTGCTGTATGGTGACACCGTGGATTCACTCCGAGAAAACAATGCACTGAACAACGTGGCAAGAGGCAAAAAGCAGAAGGAGGTGAGAAGGACAGTAAAGGACCCAGTTCATTACAAGATTCTTTTCGTTAGCTGCACTCGTTAGTTGCACTGAGTGTCACCCAAACTATGGCCCCCGTTCAGCAAGATACCTAACCTTGTGACAAACTTTAAACCAGTGATTGTCTCATTGGCTTCAATTGGACTGCTTTTGTGCTTAAAGTATGGCAGCTCCTGAAATCCCTGGGTTATTCAGGGACCATAACCGGCTGACATTTATACATTCCTGAGCTGAACCAGACTGGATGCAGATTTTCTGAATACATGTCATATGGGAGTCTCACAGATGTTCTCGTGGTAATAACAACCCTTTAATTTGAAGCAGAAGTATTTGTGACCTTTGACACTCATAAAATCATAGAATCCGTGGGCTGGAAGAGAGCTGAGGAGGTCATCAAGTCGAACCCTCGGCCCAAAGCAGGACCAACCCCAACTAAATCATCCCAGCCAGGGCTTTGTCAAGTCAGGACTTCAATCCTCTAGGGATGGAGATTCCACCACCTCCCTAGGGAACTCATCCCAGTGCTTCCCCACCCTTCTAGTGAAATAGTTTTTCCTAATATCCAACCTAGATAATATCCCCATTATTCCTTGTTCTGCCATCTGCCATTACTGAGAACAGCCTTTCTCCATCCTCTTTGGAACCCTCTTTCAGATAGTTGAAAGCTGCTCTCAAATCCCCCTCACTCTTCTCTTCTACAGACTAAACAAGACCAAATCCCACAGCCTCTCCTCATAGGTCATGCGCTCCAGCCCCCTGTTGAATTCACTTCATAATCTCACCAAAGCAAAGATTTCATCGTCACCTCTCTGGGTGGAAGTTTTCGCTCTGCATCTGTAATGCCAGCAGACTCCAGTTGCCTGTGGGTGGAATTAAACCTGGGACCTCTAGAGCTTAGTGCATGAGCCTGTGCTGCAGCAGTAGGGAACCTTTTTTGGGTTGGGGGCCACTGATCCGCAGAAAAATCAGTTGGGGGCCACACACAAGTGAGAAGCAAAAAACCCCACCCAAATCCTCACTGACGTGGCCCTCAAAAAAGAAGACGACACTCCCCAATGCTGTGGGGGAGCCCTGAGCCTCAGGGACCAGATCTAGGCAAGCCAGGAGCCAGATGCGGGCCCCGGGCCTGAGGTTCCCCGCTCTTGCTCTATTGTATGAACTAAAAGCCAACTACTGTTCAGCGAAGGCTGTAGAGAAGATTCATTATTCTCTCTGGGTGTGTCTAGACTACATGCCTCCTTCGACGGAGGCATGTAGATTAGCCAGATCGGAAGGGGGAAATGAAGCCGCGATTATTTTAATCGCGGCTTCATTTAAATTTAAAGGGCTGCCCCGATCTGCCGACAAACAGCTGATCGGCAGATCAGGGCAGCCATTTAAATTTAAATGGCTGCCCTGATCTGCCGATCAGCTGTTTGTCGGCAGATCGGGGCAGCCCTTTAAATTTAAATGAAGCCGCGATTATTTTAATCGCGGCTTCATTTAAATTTAAAGGGCTGCCCCGATCTGCCGACAAACAGCTGATCGGCAGATCAGGGCAGCCATTTAAATTTAAATGGCTGCCCTGATCTGCCGATCAGCTGTTTGTCGGCAGATCGGGGCAGCCCTTTAAATTTAAATGAAGCCGCGATTATTTTAATCGCGGCTTCATTTCCCCCTTCCGATCTGGCTAATCTACATGCCTCCGTCGAAGGAGGCATGTAGTCTAGACACACCCTCTGTGGTCTCAGTGCCACTACACGGGACAGTGCACCTCACCCAGCAGGTGTGTAGGTTACACAAGTTCATTACATTTCCCTATCACAGAACGGGTGATTAGTTGCCTGTTCATTTGGATCAATGACTGATATATTGATACAGAACAAAGCACAAAGGGAACAAATTAAAGAATGCAGAATTACTACTCATTGGAGTGCTGAACGATGCTCATGTCCCCTGACACACATTGCAATGCTGCAGTTATTTCAGCTCAAACATTGAATTCCACTGCAAAACGGGAAGCTATACTATTTCATAGCCCATGTATGGGCAATAATGCATCTGGGCATACACACATAAAGCTGGGGCTCTTTACATAGGAAAACCCTAAAACCTTTATTTCTATCTACTACATTTCTTTTTATGTGTTAGCTCATAAAACTTTGTCATGCTGCGACAACTCTGGCAACTCCCTAGCATGTAGCCAAGACCTAGCTGACACTATGCTCTCATTTGGAGAAAGTCAGGAGGGTTATAACACTTGACACCTGTTTGCGACCTCCATGGGGGAAAACCCCTGTGTTAGTTGATAGGTTGCCACTACAAAGTCAAAAGCCACACAATACACTGGGGAAACTGTGGTGCTCGGGATATTGAATATAAAATGGCTGGCAACAGTAAGTCCCATTTCTCCTTATCACTGGGCTACATGATAATTAGCTTGGTTTCACTTTCAAGCAGCAGTAAATTCATGTGCAGGTACCTACTGCTGCTTATGTTTCCCTGAGAGGAAAGGAGAATAGTTGATGGATCGGTGCAGCGGTCATACACTCACTAGGAGAGTTTAGATTGGAATTTGTGTGCTCTTGACTTTTAACCTTCTGAGACACTTGTGTTCTAAAATTCATACCTTTGTATCCTTTAGATGAGAGTATTATGGGACACTTTCAGGGAACACATTCAAATTTCTGATTTGGCTTATTGGCTACTACTTTGGTCTTGTTAAGGAAAGTAATATTAAAATTCAAATTTTTTAAAAAAACCTTTAGGATTAGGCCATCTTGCTGGGTGCTGAATACGCCAACAGAAAAAAAAAGGCCTTATATGGACAGCTTCAGATCCACAGCTTCAGCATCCACTTGAATTAGATTCTCCGGTTTTACAAATTAGATGTCGTCAAGATGAATAACTGAATTCCGTTCTTGGGTTTTTTTCAGTGCTTGGACAAGTCGTGCCTGAGAACGCCCTCTCTGAAGAAGAGGGTGATGGATATCAACTTGGAAGGAAAGAAGGACTCTGGAATGTTGAAATACATCAGGCACCAGGTATTGGCTCTCTTTCTCTTACCCACCACAGTGGCTTCTGCCTTGCCCTCCAAGAGGGCTTGTAGTGGGAGAAGGAAGGATTATGGAACCTGTGCATAGAGTAGGAAGAACTGGAATGTGTGACTGTTCCTAAATAACACCGTGGAAATGAATGGTATCCTGAAATGTATAGGAGGCACCTAAGATTGAGCTGGAGCAGCTGCTAGAAGAACCCTGCCCAAAGATTTCAATTAATACATGCAAATTCTAACCCCATTAACAACCGAAGGAGCAATGAAAAAGGAAAAGAAGTTGGAGTCTGGGCCTTTAAGTGTCTACATATTTTCATGCCTCAAGTAATAAGGTATCAAAGCATGTATTTAGAAACCAGTTGTGAATTTGCTGCAGTGATGGTTTGTGATTGATATTTATAGTAGTGCATGTGCTGCTATCTTTGCCTTCCATTCTTCTGATTTATCAAAGTTTCAGTCCCTGAGTCAGGGAGCAGCAAAAATAGTACAGGGCTTAGGGAATCAGCCTCACGCCACAATTGACAAACAGCAGCTAGTCAAGGTGCAGAGTTTTCAGACTGAAATATGCTCACGTACAAGTGTGCTACGTTCATATCAGATTAATTGAATCTGCTAAAACCAGAGACGGGAGATCATTTATGATCCGATACGAGAGTAAAATCAGTGAGGATGTTACTCGTTAACAATCGTTTACTCAGCTCTGCTCCAAAATGCACTTTCATTTTCTGCAGGTAATGAGTCTGTCTCCAGCGCCTTTGTCACTGTTAATCAAGGCAGCTCCGATCCTCACAGAGGAGATGTACGGGGACATCCAGCCTGCAGTGTGGGAGCTACTGCTCAGTGTGGATGAGCACATGGCTGGAGCAGCAGGTAAGAGAACCAGATCCAGAGACTGGTATTGTCAACTCAGTGCCCATCCGTTGCAGACGTCGGGGCCTTGCAGATCAGCTTCCTGTTGGAGGAGGAATCGGTGACTTTGTGTCTGGGTATGTTCTTAGGGCAGCTTCTTTATGCTGTGCTTGTCACAAAGCGCAAGCAGGCTGCAGGCAATCTCCTGTTTGGGCATCCCAGCCCAGACGTCAATGCCTGATTCAGAGGAACCATCTCTGCTCCAGGAATTGATTCTAATTAGAGAGATTAAAGGACGCTTTCCTGCCGTGTGCCACAGCCCTACCGCAAACAGAAATGCATCACACAACTTAACAGTACTTGGTGTCTTCAGTGTTGCTAACCCTGAAAGCTCAGCAGTTCGGGGATTGGCCCAGAATCAGGAGATCTTTAAAACAAAGATGACATGGTGGATTTGGGTCATTTTTGATGTTTGAACTCGCCTTCTCCTCCCCACTGCCCCAGTACATGTATTGCCAACTCTCCCAGAATCATCTTGTAAAGCGGTCCGTGCTGCTGGAGCTTTTGCCAGAGGACCCAGCTGAGATCATGTAACAGAGATGTGTCTAAAATCCTGCCTGATGGGCTGGAGCTCCCATCTTATTCCTGAACCTTCTAATGAATTGTGTGCGTCCAGCCCCTTGTCTTCCCACACCACAGCCCATTAATTAATCCTGCCCCCGCCTCAGATCTTCCACTTGCCTGTCAGTCCACCTCTGCTCCTCCTGTGGCTCTAGGGGTTATTTATCCTCCTGCCACCCTTCCTAGGCTTGGCCTTGCAGATGTGTGTGAGGATAAGCAGAGAGCACATAGAGCCATTTTTCACAGGGGAGTGGAGGGAATGGAGCCCCCCTAATCTGCTTGGCTCTTTCTGCTCCCCCTGCTTTCCTGTGAGAATGATGCAGCTGCTCTCTTCCCTACTGCCCTACCCCAAACTCCTATAGCTCTTGGAAGAAGCCTGAGGCAGAGAACTCTGCCTGCTTCCAGGCACAGTTCTGCTTGGCTACTAGGAGGCGGGGAAGTGCGGCAGGCAGCAGATTACAGGGAGCTGACCATGGGCAGAGCTAAAATTTGCTTGAGGGTTGGAGGTCATTGTGAGACCAGTTCAGTCTTGACTGAAATCCCATGGCTCAGGAGGAGATGAGAGTTGATAGAGCTGTTCCCATGCCGTGCCACGTCAGCCTCTGAATAGCAGCACTGCCTGGTGAAACCTGTCCTAACATTATCACTTCTTAAATATTAAAGCAGTTTAGTCTTAACTCACCTGCCTAGCTCTGCGCTGTATCATCTGACAAAATCCTTCTGCCTGTCGATGGACAAGCAGAAAACTCCATGGCTGTGTCTACACTGGGCCACTTATTCCGGAAAAGCAGCCACTTTTCCGGAATAAGCTGCAAGCTGTCTACACTGGCCGCTTGCTTTTCTGGAAAAGCAATGATGATCTACTGTAAAATTGTCAGTGTTTTTCCGGAAAAACTATGCTGCTCCCGTTCAGGCAAAAGTCCTTTTCCAGAAAAACTGTTCCGGAAAAGGGCCAGTGTAGACAGCACAGTAGTCTTTTCCACAAAAAAGCCCCGATCGCGAAAATGACGATCGGGGCTTTTTTCCGGAAAAGTGCGCCTACATTGGCCACGGACGCTTTTCCGGAAAAAGTGCTTTTCTGGAAAAGCATCCTGCCAATGTAGACGCGCTTTTTCCGGAAATACTTATAACGGAAAACTGTTCCGTTTTAAGCATTTCCGGAAAAGGGTGCCAGTGTAGACGTAGCCCATGAGCTTGTTATCAGAGTTTGTTGCAGAGTTTGGGGGCGGGGAAGGAGGGAGGTTAACAGCCTCCCAGTGAGATGTAGGACATGTCCAAAAGTCTCCAGAGGAGATAATGGGGTGGTGGAACCCAAAAAGGCACAGAGCAACCTTGTAGCTTGGCTTCTGAGTAGAGGAAAGGATACCAGCTGCCCAATTAAGAGAGGTCTGAATGTCTGGGACTCTCTCAGTAAATGCCAGGCAGACAGGCTGGCAAACAGCAGCTACCTTCAGGGCCCCCGGGGGGAACCGCTCCAGGCAGCCAGCCATACTTTGAAGACTGATATCTGTGCAAGTCTGTAAGCATTGATATTTGCTTATGAGTACACAGGTCACACATTTCTGACCATTCCTTCACCCAGTGGCTCCAACAGCAAAACACCAGCTTTTGCATCCAGCTGCATTCCCCTCCCATCACTGTGATAGGGAGTCTTTGTGAGAGAGGATGACCCTTGAGATTCAACTTGACCCACTTCCAACACATTTTGACCTATTTAATTGTAATGTCTCCGGGTCCAGCTCCCAACTCTCTCCTGTACTTAGTTTCTAAGCAATTTGGGACAGGGGCCATCCTTTTGTTCTGTGTGTTTGTAGACAAAGTAGGGTGCCCAACTCCTTTGCATTATGTTCTCCAATGCCCAGGAGTCTGACTGTAGAGGTCATTTTAGACACCGGAATTTAAAAATCCTTGGCATTTGTGTTCACCATTATAACCGCATAGTGATGGCACTTAAGGAAAGAGAACACAAACAACTATTTCGTAATTAACACTTGTATGGTTTGCCCACAGGCCACTGACGTCCAGATCAGTTCAGTAATGCTTCAGGGGTTGTGTGCAGAGCTCTTCTGTGATATTCTTAACACCCTTCACTCCCCCGACTTGGAAGCGCAACTCCCAGAATTGTTCAGCACCTTGCAGGACTGAGACCTAAATCTCATTGTCAACCCTTTTTATTTTTATCTAAAAGTTACTGAATGCTCTGTAAATATTTGGATTCTGCACCTGTCTGGTCCCATAGGGTACTCCTCAAAAAATGAGGAGTAACGTTAGTTCTAACCAAGGGGTTTGGTTCAAACTAACACATCCAGGAGCGCACTTTCACTTTTGAATCAGCTGGTGAGCAGAGTAACGCGCCGGCGAGATCATGCTAATGAAGCACGGGATATTTAAATCCCCGCTTCATTAACAATTTCAGTCGCCTACATTTGCATCCCTAGGTCCAACTAGGGAGCAAGTGTAGCTGTACCCTTAGGAAGTTGCAAAGTATTCATTCATTGGTTTTCTTCTTATTTTTTATCTCGGGACAATTTATTATTAGATTCATAACTGATGATCTTTGTCAATGCATGGTGACATTCCCAATAATTAAGTTACTGTCTTATCTCAGGACAATTTATTATTAGATTCATAACTAATGATCTTTTTCAATGCATTGTGACATTCCCAATAATTAAGTTACTGTCTGTCTATAATTGGAATATTCCTTTATGCAGATCTGTACAGTAGGAAAATAAGATCCTCGAGTGGGAGTCAAGAAATCTAATTTCTTTCCCCAGCATTGCCACTGATTGGTGAACTTCAGAAAGGCGCTAAAATTTATGTGCCTCAGTTTCCCCCTCTCTCCTTTGTAAAATGCTTTGTGTTGGAAAGTCCTAAAAAGTGCTGCTGCTTGTTCATTATTATTGATTAATGAATCATGGGCTTACTTTTTATTCTAAGCTAATCATTACTGAGGTTTTCAGGAGAACAGAAGTATTCTCTGTTTTAAAAGCAGCTTTGCTAAAATCTTTTTATGAGCAGTTGTAATGGCTGTGATAGGTGGAATGACACTGATTCGGTTTTATGAAGCAAAGCACTTTTTGCTGGTCGAAGTATATTGCTTATCTGATTTTCTGCGGAGTATATCTTTAGGGTTTTTTTTTTTAAATGACGGCAATTTTATTTGCAAAACAAATGCACTCTGGAAACACTCAGCTCATCAGATGTGCTCTCCCTGCAGCTGCCATGTTCCTGCTGTGTGCTGTGAAAGTGCCGGAGGCTGTTTCTGATATGCTGATGTCCGAATTTCGTCACCCTGAGACCGTGCAACGATTGAATGCTGTTCTCAAATTCCATACTCTCTGGAGATTTCGCTATCAAGTCTGGCCTCGGATGGAGGAGGGAGCACAACAGATCTTTAAGGTAGAGGAGGAGAACAAACACAGTGGCTGTGTCTACACTGGGCCACTTATTCCAGAAAATCAGCCAGTTTTCCGGTATAAGCTCCGAGCTGTCTACACTGGCCCTTGAATTTCCGTTTTCCGGTATATACTGCGAGCTGTCTACACTGGCCCTTGAATTTCCGGAAAAGCAACTACTGCTCTACTGTACAAAAACAGACGCTATTCCGGAAAAACTATTCTGCTCCCACTTGGGCATAAGTCCTTATTCCGGAACACTGTTCCGGAAAAGGGCCAGTGTAGACAGCCCGGTAGTCTTTTCCGGAAAAAAGCCCCGATCGCGAAAATGACGATCGGGGCTCTTTTTCGGAAAAGCGCGTCTACATTGGCCACAGATGCTTTTCCGGAAAAAGGGCTTTTCCGGAAAAGCAGCCTGCCAATGTAGACGCTCCTTTTCCGGAAAAACTGAAAACGGAATAGTATTCCGTTTTAAGCATTTCCGGAAATTCATGCCAGTGTAGACACAGCCAGTGTGTCGGGGGGGCAGATGTATTGTGACATGAAGACAAGGAACTCTTCTGCCAACATTAAATTAGAAGATGATGCAACATTTTCATGATTATTAACAGAAATATCTTGTGCCTTTTATAATTAAATGTGTTGGGCTAAATATATAGGACCTGATTTGGCCATTGCTTTTGCAGTTGGGTGTTTCATGCCCCAAGCGATAATATGGTCAATATTAATCATGGGTTTTCTTTGACTAATGGGATTGGCCAGTTGAGTTGTCTATTCACTTTTAATCTTTTACAAAAATTTGATACATCCCTGAAGATCATACACTGTTCTCCTAACTGCTGTAATTTTTAATGATATAATGGACATATCTGGGAAGTGGGCTCCTTCACTGCAGATTGATATACAGGTTGAACCTCTCTAATTTGGCACTCTCTGGTTTGGCAGCATCTGTGGTCTGTCCTGATTTCACTTAGCCAGATGTTCGCTTATCGTGGGTTTGGCCAAGTTTCCCGCGGTTCCTATAAAATTTGTTTTCAGCCACCAGTCCTGGATCTCAGTGTTCTGTGCTTTTATTTAGCTTTCATTTACCCCTACATGTCTTCTAACATCCCAGTAACCAGTTGGTAATTCTGCTAGATAATATTGACGTCCTGTGGGCCATCAAATTCTCTTGTTTGGCACCGGTCCGGTTCCCAAGGTGCCAGACTAGAGAAGTTCAGCCTAAACCAGGTATCTTCTAGTGTCCATCTTAAACGAACAGATGTCTTCTTGAAACCACTGCAAGGGTATTGACCCTTTGATATACAACAGATAATTGTTATGTAACATTTGAGGAGTAAAAGTGATTAATTTGGAAGATTTTCTTCCTTAGTTTTCTGTTTCTCATGGTGGTTGAAGAGTCCTGATTATAACTGGTGATGTAACAAGAACCCAAATGGTTGGCATGATGCTATGCAAAAGAATCGGTGTCCTGCAATTCTGTGGTATTATAGTTCCTGGTTCCCTGTTTTAAGTTTGGGATTCAGTTTTTATAATGGACAGTGCAAAATAATTTCAGATTTTTTCATCTTTTGTCTAAGCTGCAGGCCTGGGGCCAAACAAATTGTTACTACAGAATGCAGTTCCCCTTCACTCTGTCCCAGGTTGCAGAAGGAGGCTAGAATCCCAAGGGGAATCGTAATCAATAAGCATTTAAATCCACCACTTAAAATTTCATTTTCTCTCCTTGGGGTTTCTTACAGATTCCTCCTCCAAGTATCAACTTCACCTTGCCCTCTCCAGTACTGGGCATGCCCTCTGTGCCCATGTTTGATCCCCCATGGGTTCCACAGTGCAGTGGGAGTGTGCAGGACCCAATTAATGAGGACCAATCTGTAAGTAGAGCGTTCCCTAGAGGGGGTATTGTTATTGCTTAATAGCAGATTATCCTTCTGGTTTTGTCAGGTGGGGATGAGGAAGGGGTGGAGGAGCTAAAGAATACAAAATCGTCTAAACTCTGAATTTCTTTACTTGTGCGGTTTACAAGAGCACTTTGAGTACATTATCAACATAGTGCCTGGGCATCAGAAATACAACATTTATATTTTTCTTATTTGTCAGCAAGAGGTTTAAGACAAGATATCCAAACAAGGGCTTCCTTGGGAATCTTTATTAACCGTTGTGTATGCGAGTGTGTGCAGATGGGTGGATTTGAGCTTTAGTGATTAAATGTTACATAAAAGTGGCCCAAAACATGTGTTGTGTGAAAACCAAACTAATTGCTTCACGTTGCTTTCTTTCTTCTCGCTTTTCTGGCAGAAGTCATTTTCAGCCCGGGCGGTCTCTCGTTCCCACCAGCGAGCTGAGCACATCCTGAAGAACCTGCAGCAGGAAGAGGAAAAGAAGCGCTTAGGCCGGGAAGCCAGTCTGATCACGGCTATTCCCATTACGCAGGAGGCCTGCTACGAGCCCACCTGTACCCCAAACTCAGAGCAAGAAGAGGAAGGTGCGCTCCAGAGCCAGGAACTGCCTGCCAGGGACTAATAAGCACATGCCTACAACATGGAACAGATCTTAGGGGAGGAGGGAGGAAAGAAAGTGATCCGTAATGATAGGGAAGACCTCTCTTTAATAGCCTCACCATTTTGGATCATGCAGTGGAACTGGTTCTGAATCACTTTCAGAACCTAACAGCACCACCTAGGTATAAGGCATCCATGTCAAAAAATCAAAGGTTCAAAAATGTGTAATTGAGAATTAGTGTAATAAGGCCCCAAACTTCTGAACTGTTGAATGCTGCCTGCAAAAAGCAGGGTGTCTTCAGCTCCCACTGGCCAATAGTTGGGGACTCTTAGTGCCTCGCAGGAGGCATTCAGTACCTGGCCCTGTCAGCTCCTTACTGCATAAGAATAAAGGAATCTGAAAACTTAGCCTTGGGTTGAGGATTTTCAGGGAGTCACGCTATTGCCATAAAGCGTTTCTACTTTAACAAGGGTTAGTTAAATGTTCACTTTTATCACATTGCAGCTATGGATATGCTAAAGTATAGGGCAAGGCGAGCAAGGCAAACACCCTGTGCCCTTCGCTTTCGGGGCTTCGTGCTGCTGAATATTCACCATCCACCAGCCAGGCCTGGGGCCCCGCTGCCAGCGTCCTGCCTTGGGCCCCACAAACCTTTTGGCCAGGCCTGCTGAAGTCCTGTGATGTCCACTGCTGGGTATGCAATGGAAAGTCTGCACAGAGAATTGTGGCTGTGGAAGTGCACTCAGACAGCACCTTACAGGAAGCACAACTAATTGCCTAATAGTGTGAGTTATTAGGATATAAAATAATCGTCTGATGGAAGCTGTGGAGCTGCATCACTGGAGTCAGCTCACTCAGCAAAGTACTGGGTAAAATACGTTAAGGAACAGGCCTGCTCTATCTCCCAGGGATGGACAAAATGACCTAGGTCATCTTTTTAGCTTCTAAATTGTGCACTTCACAAGAAGCCTGACTTGAATTGTTCCCTGTTGCAGTCTGGCAGCATGCTGCTTCTCCCGAGGAGGTGCCCTGCATTGTGTCAGTCGAATTTATGGACCAAAATTCACATCTCCTGTTTTCTTTGTCAGTAGAAGAAGTCACCAACTTGGCATCGCGCCGTCTTTCTGTGAGTCCCTCCTGCACCTCCAGTACTTCTCACAGGAACTATTCCTTCCGTCGTGGTTCTGTCTGGTCAGTGCGTTCAGCGGTCAGTGCAGAAGGTGGGCATTGGCTGTGCATTTGTTTTTAAGTCGCCTGGGAAGTGTAGCTATTCATTCCTATTGATGCACCGTCTTGCTTGCTCGTAACCAAGCCGCACCTGATTTTGTGAGGCCTGCTTGCATGCTCAGGAAGTTCTGGACTAGTCAGCCCCATGCATTATGATATTGCTATTCATTGCCATGTAGCTTCTCTCCAGTTCTAGAGTTTCATTGTGAGTTACTGCTGAGTTGTGTCAGGTGAAGCCTACCAGGTGGAAAACTGTAACTAAAACGGCTTTACTAACAGCACATTGGCTAATGCATGCCTTTTACTCCTCTCTGCACTCTAGATGAGGAACACACTACAGAGCACACTCCAAACCATCATGTGCCACAGCCCCCCCAGGCAGTGTTCCCAGCATGCATCTGTGCGGCTGTGCTCCCCATTGTTCACTTGATGGAAGATGGAGAAGTCCGGGAGGATGGAGTAGCAGGTGCTGACCTAGATTAAACATTCATGGACTCTTAATCAGAGTCTCCCTCTGGTCCCCCTCGCTGCACCTCTGCCTTTTAAGAGCCTGCTGGCTCTTAATACATTTAAAAAGCAGAGGTGCAGCTTCTGGGCCCAGGCCCCCCGCTATGCAGTTTCCCACCTTATCGACTAATCGAGTAGTCAATAGAAATTCCATCGACTACTCGATTAGCCGATTAAATGTAATTTAACATCCTTCGTTGCTATTGTGAAATATTATAGGCAATTTGCAAATGGTTTACTTCGTTATTTTTTATATTTATTATTCATTGTTTGTAAAGTGTGGCTGGCCCTTCCTGTCATGTCCTGTAACAGAAAGAAATGGGGTAACACCATCTAGCTCAGCTTCTGCACACTGAAAATTTCTGGCAAGGGTCTGTGCCTTTTGAAGACCTTAGAAGCACAGCAAAAACCATCATCGTCTGAGAAAGGGCAGGAAGTGCAGTTTTCTGAGTGAGCACTGAGCAAGGTTTATGCGTGGTTGGATGAGGAGATGTCAAATACTGTAATATAAATATACCCCTGTAAGACTTCTTCGAGGAAGTTCCAACTGGTTTTTTTCTTCCTCCTGTGTAGTGAGTGCTGTAGCCCAGCAGGTCTTATGGAACTGCTTGATTGAAGATCCCTCTACGGTTCTACGACATTTCCTGGAGAAACTCACAATAAGCAATCGACAGGTAAGTTAGGCTCCACTTTTCTCAGGATAGATATTAAAGACGAGCTTAGCCATCATGTCAGGCACGAAAATATAAGAGCAAGTAAAATCACTGAAAGGCTAAACAATCTTTATTATAAGGTGGCTTAGACTACTGACAGACTGATCTTTAGCTGGTAAAAATCAGTGTCGGCCCATTTAAGTCAATGAAGCTATTCTGATTTACACCACAAGAGAATCTGGCCATGATTGTCCAAGGTGTCTCAGTGAATTCTGCTGAGTTAGGTATCCTCAGCTGGTGCAAATGAAGCTAGTTTCATAAGAGCTGCTCTGTTAGACCTTCCTTGAAATACAGGGCTGATAAGGCATCGCCCTGTTGGCAGTGTTGTAGCCAAAAAGGCATCGCCCTGTCGGCAGTGTTGTAGCCATGTTGGTCACAAGATATTAAAGAGACAAGGCCGGGGAAGTAATATCTTATACTGGACCAGCTGCTGTTGGTGGGACAAGTTTTCAGGCTTACCCAGAGCTCTTCTTTGGGTTTGGGAAAGCTACTGAGCGTGTCACAGCTAAGCATAAGGTGGAACAGATTGTTTAACGTAAGTTATTAATATCTCTCATTGTAATCCATTTCTCTGCTGTGTCTGGTTTAGATTGTAAACTCTGAGACAGGGCTCTGTCTCTTTTGTTTGTATGAAAAGTATCGTGCAGACCTGCAGCACCAGTGACACCATATAAGTAAGAACATAGAAACGGCTACATGGGATCAGGCCAATGGTCCATATAGCCCAGCAACCTCTCTTTAAACAGTGGGCAGAAGGAATGAACAGCCAAGGGCAATTTATCAAGTTATTCATCTCCTGTCATCCAGCCCCAGTATCTGGCAGTCAGAGGTTTGGGAATACTCAGAGCATACGGGATTGATCAGCTTGGCTAATAACCATTGATGGGCCAATTCTCCGTGAACTTACTTAATCCTTTTTTAACCTTTATCCTTCATAATCTCCCATGGCAAGGAGTTCCACTGGTTGGCAGTGCTCTATGTGAACAAGAACGTCCTAAAGTTTGTTTTAAACCTGCTGCCTGTTCATTTCATTGGGTGACCGCTGGTTCTTGTGTGACGTGATGGGTACATGAGACTTTCTGGTTCACTTTCTCCACACCATTCATGATTTTACAGAGCTCTTACCATATCCGCCCCTTAGTTGTCTCGTTTCTAAATTGCACAGTCCCCTGTGGGGAGTCCCCATACAAATGCTGTTCCATACCCCTCATCATTTTTATTGTCCTTCTCTACACTTTTGCCCGTTCTAATGTATTCTATTTGTGAGATGGGGAGACCAGACCTACACACGTTATTCAAGCCATGGATTTACATAGTAGCATTATGATATTTTTATCTCATTAACTCACCTTTCCTCATGGTTCCTAATCTTCTGTTAGCTTTTTTGACTGCTGCTGCCCTTGAGTCTGATAGTGATATCAATAACGGTATCGCTACTTCTGAGAGAGTGGTTTTTATCCACGAAAGCTTATGCCCAAATAAATTTTTTAGTCTTTAAGGTGAATTAATTTTCATATACTCTCTCCAATACTGTCGTACAGGACTTTTTGACTGTAAGTCAGAACTAGAATTGCTGCAGGGTCTAATGACAGAATTGGGAGGCTGCCAGGGTGTTATTTCTAGGTAAGAAGGTGATCCCCAATATAAAATAACGAGAACCAGTGACCTAGGTACATTCAATGTGCCTTTGGACTTGCACTTAGAATTCTAAGTACTCGCCTAACCATATGGTTCCATTTCATGCAGAGAAAGAGCAAGTGAGAACGGATAGAAACTGTAGACCATTTTGTGATGGAAATTAAAACTCTTGCTCTTTTTCCAGGATGAGTTGATGTACATGCTGAGGAAGCTCCTACTGAACATCGGAGACTTTCCTGCCCAGACATCTCACATCCTGTTTAACTACTTGGTGAGTAGCACCCTATATCAGCCATTAGTCTAATCTTTGACTGCCCGTTTCCGAAAGCACATGTGTTACAATCTAGAGGAGAGCATGCCTTGTGGTATTGCCCACACTATATACATACACACCAAGCCTCCAGTAGTCAGCATACATCACCCGGCTCAGATAGGCTTCCATTTTATTGTCATTTATTAAAGAGTTAAATAAACTGTCATCCCAAACCTTTACTCCACAGCTGCATACCACCCTTTCACAGAGCAATCATTGGAGCTCTGCTCAGAGGGTGGATAGGGGAGACTTGGCAACATGTGCGCAGATCCTGAGCTGTGCTCTCTGCGATTCTGCTGCGTGAAGGAGCGCATGTCTCAAACCCAAGTTTGCAGGTCCCCAGAAGTATGCAGACTTCCACCACCACCATGCAGCTCGCTAGAACCATGAGAGAAGGGGGCAGTGATGGTCTAGTTTACCAAGGGTTCTTCCCACAAGCTCTCGATTGGAGGAGATGTCTGGAGCCAAAGATTGGCTTGGACATGCTACTTAGGAGAGAAGGAGGCACAGGAAGTTATCTGAGCAACTAAGGGTATGTCTACACTACAGCACTAATTCGAACTAACTTAATTCAAATTAGTTAATTCGAACTAAGCTAATTCGAATTAGCACATCTAGACTTAAAAACTAGTTCGAATTAGCGTTTTGCTAATTCGAACTAGCATGTCCACATTGAGTGGACCCTGAACCGAAGTTAAGGATGGCCGGAAGCAGTGCCGGCAGGGCATCAGGTTACGACATAGAGAGTCGAGCTGCTGTCTCAGGCTAGCCGAGGGCTGTGCTTAGAGGGACCCAACCCCCACCCCGGACAGACAGTTCTCAGGGTTCCCCGCTTGCTTGTTTACCTCGATGAGGGACAGCAAAGTAGTCCTGACTTGGAGTGCCCTGAGTGCCGTCACTCGGCACATCACAGCACTCGGCCATCAGCCCGGCTGCACTTGCCGCAGGCTGCCATCCGGGAGGTCAGTCGGGAGGCTGTCAGGATCAAGGAGACCCTGCAGGAGAGCTTCCACCCCGAGGAGCCCGCAGAGCCACCCCAGTCCTCCCCATCGGGGGCTCGTACTCCATTCCTCCCTCAACTCTTTCCACTTACCCCCGCCCCCCAGCTCCCTTCCTGATGTAAAAAATAAAGGACACCTGTTCAAAAATAGAAACTCTCTTTATTTAACAAAAGTGTGTGTGGGGGGAATTAACCTCTGGGGAGACTGGGAAAAGGAGGTGGGAGAGGGGAAGAGAGAGGGTGGGAGAGGGGAGGGGGAAACCTGGGAGGAGGGAGCTGGAAGGGGGAAGCCGGGGAAGAAGGAGGAGGGGAAGTATAAAACTATGGTACGCCCACATCTTCAGTACTGTGTACAGATCTGATCCCCTCACCCCAGAAAAGATATTTTGGCCTTGGAAAGGGTTCCGAAAAGGGCAACTAAAATGATCAGGGGTTTGGAACAAGTCCCATATGAAGAGAGGCTAAAATGACTGGGACTTTTCAGTTTGGAAAAGAGGAGACTGAGGGGGGATATGATAGAGGTCTATAAAATCATGAGTGGTGTGGAGAGGGTGCATAAAGAAAAGTTCTTTATTAGTTCCCATAATAGAAGGACTAGAGGACACCAAATGAAATGAATGGGTAGCAGGCTTCAAACTAATAACAGAAAGTTCTTCTTCACACAGCGCATAGTCAACCTGTGGAACTCCTTGCCACAGGAGGCTGTGAAGGCTAGAACTATAAAGAGAAGTTAGATAAAGTCATGGAGATTGGGTCCATGGAGTGCTATTAGCCAGGGGGTAGGAACGATGTCCCTGGCCTCTGTTTGTGGAAGACTGGAGAGGGATGGCACGAGACAACTGGCTTGGTCATTGTCCTTGGTCCATCCCCTCT